GTTGGTTAAGTGGGGGGGGGGAGAAACAGCTATAAGCAACAAAACCCAAAGATAACACAAAATAAAGGAAAATTCCTGTGGATAATAACCTGCTGTGGAGAAGCAAAGCTTACAGTTTTGGGCACTTCATACGCTATCTGTGTGGACACGCCGCCCATGTCCAGCACGCCGGCTGTCCGCTTCCTCACCAGTGCCTCCTGCTGGTCGCCACCGGGGACCTGCACCTCAACCACTGCCTCCCTCTCTAATGGGGGTGATATGGCAAAAAGTACATAAAGAACGGCTTAAGCAAAGCAGACAGATAGACAGCGCTTCCTCACTAGACCAGAAGGTGTTACATAGAAGTCAAAACAAGAGGAAGAAAAAAGCAGTATTGCAGGTAAGTCCTAGATCTACGTGAACAATTTCTTTGTTTAGCATTCCGTTCTAAAGGTAATACATGGAGAAGAGGAAGATTTAAACAGTACTTATTCATCACAAAATGACTTCTAACACAAGTTTCCAAAGTTTTAAACTAATGCAGAAAAACATTGCAGATGGTTTCACTGCATCATACTCATTCATATAAAGAAGTACTAGATTAAAAATGAACTTAAACAAGACTGCTCAACATGGAAGTACTTCATGCTTCTGTTTCACATTTGCCCTCCCAGGAGGATACTGGCATCTTTCTGCAGAGCACACTGCACAGGCCTACAGAATGAGCTACAAGCCATGAGCAAGAGCTGCACTGGAAAAGAAAAATCGGCAGGAAAAACCAGTAAGTAATAGGAGAAACTGGACAGTAATCCAGCTGGCCCGGCAAGGACATCTCAGTCTCCATAAAAGCAAGAAGGCTGCGGGGTTAGTAACAGCATACAAAGGAATTTAACACGATACTATATTTAAACATTTAATCTCATTGTTTTTTTCGCAACTTTGTCCAAGACATTTTTCCACTGCTGTCTGTGAGCTATTTCCTCTAGGAAAAGGAGAGGTTTATGCTAAAAGGCTTGATATCAGTAGCTCTCAGCCATAATGCTTATGACTTGTGTTCTAGCCAACCTGAATTAATGAGGCTTGACTGGGCAGTAATATAATAATGATGATGAACAGGGATTCCTAATGCTTTCCCTGGAGACAGATTATGTGTAGTGATCTGTATTGTCGATCAGTTATTAATTAAAGAAAGCCAGCTTGACGTGGCTGCCGGTTACTGGACTGTACCCAGACGTTTATCGTATCTTAGGGCCAGTTTATGCTCAATGCTTGCAATGTGTATCCTTATGTGTGCTGTCGCTACACAAGCTGTGCTGCTGCTCATACTTGCCCGCGTAGTTTGTGTCAATATGGAGGATTAAAAGTTAAGTCCACCAGGGGGCAGTGCAAGAAATCATCTTGGTCGGAACCTTCATTTCCGGTCTTGTGTTTATGACTTTTTGATCTGAAATGTTTTACACTCGCTGCCTCCACAAGCCACCAAAGATAAACATCAATGATGAGCAAAGCATCTCATATATATATATTTTTTTTATTTTTATTTTTTTCTTGTATGATTTATTTATTAAAATTGGGTTTCATGCACTGAATCTATTTAAGAAGAATCCTAAGGGAATTTTAAGCAAAACAGAGTCTTGAAGTAAAGAAATAATGACTTGAATTACGTTGTGACAATTATCAATAATAACTGATAATGCCCAGCCCTAATATACACACAATAAACAGGATGGAAGTACAAAGTTATTCAATTCAGGATGAAAATCATTCAAGTAAATTTTAACCAGTTACTACTCAGCATTAATATACAATTTAAGCGATTACACAATTCTCCGTCAAAATATTAATGTGGTGTCATATGTAGGAGTCAAAACATCCTGATTACAAAACAATACAACTTACAATTAAAATTAAAAAATGTTCAACAACCTGCTCATATATATTGCCTAATGAAGCCTATTTAAAGACTGCTGCTTAAAATTATTCAAATTATATATGCAAGCCCACAAATAAGATCTACTGATGATGGATTCTTACCGTCGTCCACGTGATCAAATCTTCCAAGGACAAAGTTGATGCCAATCCATGCATAGACTCCTGAACAGAGAAGAAAAAGAGGAAATTATGCTAAAGGCTAATCGCCCAGCCTATATCGAACCCAAACAGACTTCAAAAGAGGAGCCTGCTGTACTCAGCGCTCTCTGACAGACAGGGATGTGGAAGGAAGGCAGATTCATAGCCAGCATGGATTCTCACTCCTCCCCTCGCCCAAGGCCAAAGTACGCTCACCCTCTTGCTTGCCAGAAATGACCTCCACGTGGGAGTCTGAGAAGAGGAAGTTGAAGTGCACGGGTATATCAGTGCGCAGGTCCTCCAGCAGCGCCTCCTGCTGGCTGCAAACAGCGCACACATCGATTAGGAGTGACGGAAGACGCATACAACTCAGAGATATGAGCGATAAAGTCTAATAAAGGAAAAAACTGAACATTTCTTTCAACACCTTATCAGAGATGAAGTGCGTCTGTAGAGGAAACTAGCGTGACACTGGTAGAGAGTAAATATTTCAAGACCGATTCACCAAAAAATACAAAATCTCTTTTGTAAAAGGTACTTTTGTATTATAAAGTCCACAAAAATATAGAGTAGTAACATATAAGGCATTCCCTACCTCAACATGAGATAATAGAAACTACAAATCCAAACCAAGATTTAGTTTCTACCAACCAGGTGAGTACTCTGTGACTATGACTCTTTATGCTCAACTGGTTGGTTGAAACAAAATCGTGGTCTGGATTTCTAGGTTCTGGACTGGAAATGCCAAACACGGCTAATTGTGCTCCTTTAAATCTTTAAAAAAAAAAATAATAATGACAGAATTATGGGTAAGTTTAATCGTTGTATTTGACACTAACACATATTTAAGCTATTTTGCCACTAGATTGTCCTGAATAGAGTAGAGTCCCTTTACCTTTCTGGTAACATCCTCATGCCTGCGGTGCAGAGGATGTATAGAGGAGTCTCCTGGTGCTTGCTCTTGGGGATATGCTGGGCAGCAAAGTTCAGTAAGGGATGGATGTAGTCACTGGCTTTCTCTGGTGTTGATGACAGTTCAGAAATACCTACCGGCAGAGAAGAATACTGAGCCCAGCATGGTTGTATGCACTTACAGCAGTGATGGAAACCTGCTGTTTTGTTGTGCTTTTTTTCCCCAACCCCCCCGAACTCCTTACTATCCATTCCAAGCTACAAATAATAACAATTCAATAACATTCAGGAGGTGAAGATTTCAGGTCCAGAGAGTACAAATCCAGACCAAGATTTTGTTTCAACAAACCAGTTGAATACTCTGTGACTCTTTATACTCAAAACTGGTTGGTTGAAACAAAATCTTGGTCTGCATTTGTACACTCTAGACCTGAAATCTCCACCTCTGAATAACAGAAGACCTGAGGACATCGAGAACAGAAAGATGAAAAAAATCCAAAAAACTTGCAGACAAGGAACTTTCCCTCTCTGTACATGCAGCCATATTCAGTGTTTCATTCATAATATCCCAGGCTGTAGGTACAGTACAGAGAATGGACGTTAGGCTCTGATGGCATGTGAGACATCTCACCAGGCTTTATCTTCATGACTACGGGCTTCCTGTGCTGGTCCCTCATCTGGCGGATGTCCAGGAGGTCGTGAGGGTTGCCGTTGTGCCTAGGCCAGCAGTACACAAAGACCCGCGAGCCGCTACTGCCGCAGTCGATGACGATGCCATAGTTCAGGTTGGGGTTGCTTGTGTCTGTGGCGTCCACGTCGGTTACGCGGACGAGATGCCTGGGTTTGGCGTAATAAGTCAAAGTATGAGAAGTCTAATCCTCAACTAAACATCTGATTCACACCAAAGAAATGCTTTTATTGTGAGGTGTTTTCAAAAGAATCAGCCTAAGCAGTCTTCTGTAATAAAATGCTTCAGTGAAACAACCTACAGTCTCCAGTGAGGCTCTTTCTTTTAATGCATTAATAAAATGCAAATTTTAAAAAAATTACTTAAAATGTGTATTTTCTATAAATGCATATAAATTAATCTATAATCTAAATGTGTATCTATGGATTTTTAATGAAAAAAATTTAAACATTCCCATTCAGTATTCTGGGTATGAGATATAGGCTGCAGTGTTCTATAGAATGACAATAATGATTATTGACCAATATCATTTAAGATATGAACCTGTGGAAGGGCTTGTCTTCTCCATTCCAGTTGTACTGACCCCAGCCCAGCACCACCAAAAGGTAGATCAAACCAATTATGCCAATGAACAGGCCCAGGAACAGCAACTGCCTGAGTGAGGGCAAAAGGAGCCGGGGGAAGCCCACTGGAGACAGGCTGAAGTGCCAGGAGGCGGGGAACAGGCAGGAGAAACTGATTCTGGGGGTATACAGAAGAGGGACAAATATGTAACTTGATACTTCATCCCTGCAAATGCTAATGAGAACGGCTCAAATTTTACAAGAATTTTTATGCATGACTTCATCACTGGTCATCAGTTTCATTCAATGAAGTTCCCATTCACAGCAAGCTCACCTTCCCATTGCCTGACGTCACAGATCAGTCAGTCAAATTCCAGGGGCAGAAACAGGTTTCGTGAGGTCTCCATCAATGTCTTTGTGCTTGTCCGGTCCACAATGAATACATTTCCAAAGGTATCATTTTAAGCCTTTGGCTTAGGACCCTATGAAGAAAAAAAAATAGACTTCAGTTATTAAAAGAAAAAAGAGCTGGGTTAACAGAAATTTAAAAATAAAATATCCACTCTACCGACTGAAAGACTTTTATAATTCAATTAAAAGGCTATTTTACTACTTTTCATATATTACTTCTCAGCGCGATCGTGTATTGGATGAGCGGTTATAGAAGATGTATAGAAACTATATCTACGTTTTCAGTGGATACAAAGATTCCACTAATGTTTGAGAAGTAAAAAATGGTTAAAACGACTGCAGTTTTCTAAGTTGTACTTTATGAAGCTTTGCAACGATTAACGTTAACTGGCCGTTGACACAAATTAATATCAATACTTACCAAACAGTTTTTCTCAGAAGACAGAAATTCGAAAATGTCATAGCAGTAAAGATGATTTATTCGCGACAGTGAATAAATGCCAGCAAAATAAATGACAGTGTTTGCCAGCAAAATGTTATTGATAGTACATATTTTACATATGAAATTAGCTAGCCAGCAGACATAAATGAGTAAGGCTAGCTAGCTGAGGATCAGGTTGGTGACGATGTGTCAGGTCATTCCAGCAGGTTCACACGCTCAAGCGAAACTTCCTGTACAGCGTTCAGTCAGCTAGTAGTATTACCCCGTGAAGCAAACACCCTTCCACGCCGCTGAAGCCGGTATTAGCAGCCACGCCGCCGTGTCTACCTCCCAACTGAACCTTTTATTCAGCTTCACAACCACACAATGTAGCCTATTCCAAGGCAGCCGGCAAGCACGACGCTAAATTGGAAAGCCGTTAACAAAAGCCTATCACTCACCTATATGTAGACATCCACAAGACAAGGAAAAATTTCACACGGACATTTTAATCGATAAATCATACATACAACTACGAAGACCGCAGCTGCCTACCTTCGCGGTCTCGCGGCAGACAGACAGCGTAGGTCAGAATCCGTGAGCTGCGCATGCGCATACATTCGCGTCTTAAGGAAACTTTATTGTTTTTTTCGGGCTGACAACGAACATTTACTATATGACATGGAGTGACGCTTGGTAAGAATCGTCTGTACAGTATTTAGAAAAGACAGATGTCGGATAGTAATGAAAAGTGCTAGGACGAAAGCATTCATTTTCTGGTTGCAGCTAGAATATAACATTAATAGCATTTCTAGTGATTGTCAACTTCCGCACACATAATTAACTCATGAATAAGCAGTACATTAAGCATCCATACAGTTTCCACGTTGGATACGGTCGCAGGGGATAAATTACCAGTGCTACTGTTATATTCATGTTATGTCAACAAAGTTATTAATAATTTATCTTCAATAATCCGTTCGTTTTAAATTATGAATCAACTCATCTGGTCAGAGTTGAAGTTGCAGATAACAAAAAGTGAAAACCTTTTATATACCTTCTCTTTAAAGTAGCTAAAACCAAATCAATAGACTTTTAACGAGAACTCAAGCAGTCTTTGGAAATAACCCGAAATAAATAGACAATATTTTGCTGAATATTGGTGCTTTTGCTGTTGGCAATTATCGACTAAGTTACTTTTCCTGTACAAATAGACCAGAACATACATCCATCCATCTGACTTTCAGCCACGTTGCTGGGATGGTCAGGATGTCACCCCATCACAGATCACACACACCATAGGCAATTTTGAGATGCCAGTTTCCAGATGCCAGGAAAGGGAATGCCTGGAAAATGCTTGTACCCCAGGGATAAACAGCATAATCCACACACCAAGAATCGGGGCAAAATTCCATCCTCCAAGTGTGAAGTATGAGGCAGCCATACTACGCACTCAGCCACTTTTGCTACCCCTAACTTAAAACAGCATAACTCAAAATAATAATTATGATTAAATGCTTGCACAAGGGAAAAGTTTATCTGCAATTTAAAATTTGACATCCTCGCCCTTGCAGTGTTGGAATAACCACATTGTTAGATTATGTGTTTTAGCCATTCTAAAGCTTAGCCAAACAGCCACTGAACAGCTTGACTGTCAGCATGTTGTATATACGCAGTTACAGCCACATGACTGACTGGCTGGAGGAGCCGGCTGTTTGTGTTATGGAGCAGGTTTACCTAGTAAAGTGGCCACTGCGTGTACGTGTCATAAAATGCACACGATAGCAATTTTACTCTAGTCGGCACTACAAAGCTCAACTTAACAAAAATAATTATTTGAAAAAGCTGATTACCTGTATTAGTCTATACCAATACTTGTAATTAAATGTAATTAGACATTTTCTTGATTTTTTTAAACAAAGATTACTCAAGCAGAATCATTCACTGCTCAGGACTGTAGTCATATAGTTTCATCAATTTATTAAAGCAACACAGATTACAATTTTCAGGAAAAAAAAAATTACCCTTACAAACAGCAATATACTTCAATTACAAACATTGCTTCCCACCAACTTTAGGACTGGTAGCTGATATTAGCAGCTGCTTCCCAAAAATAAGGGGTGTACCAGTCTTTCACTGTGCTGTCTCGGGTCTTTTCTTAGCGGGTACTAAAGCCGGCGCTGAACCTAAAACAGGAAAGGGGGGAAAAGGGGGGATGGACAGCAGCTGAAAAGATGAGCGTGTCAGATAGCAGATTCACATGCAGGAAAGGGCTGTACGAGAGACAGGAGTCAACCTAATACACTTAACCAAAATGGCATTCAATCCCAAAAATATAAGATTTTACTCAAGAGTAGATTTCTTGGAAGAACAAGAATTATTATTTAGGTTTGGTATTATTCTCTCTTTTTATGCGTTACACAAGACTTCTGCGTTAGACAGGAAAGGAAGAGCGAAATTAGACATTCATACTAAAAGACATAAAAGGTAATTCATTACAGACACTTCTCACTTAATAAGCCACCCGTTTAATGAATGCCCAGACTTACGACCAGCTCTCACCAGTCGGTGTTGTACACTGTACAAGAACTTTGGTTGTGGAACTGGCGTCTCAGCGTGAAGCATCTCATCTCACATCCCCCTTTCTCACTCTGTCTCATTCCTGCCGTCAGTCAGTATTCACTACACTAGTGTTCACAATCTCTGATTACCTGTATTTACAGTATGCAAACCTAAATAATGTATATTAGAGCTGATTTCCTCTATTCTATTACAATATACGGTACACAATTGTATAAAAATGTATAAATATATAACATGATGTAAATGGTGTAAAAGTGACATTAAAACAATATGTAAAGATGGCTGACACAAACCCACTATCTACAGTATGCTTGAAATATCGGTAAGGAGCGGCTCCTCGCTTATTGACCAATTCGCTTGATGACCTGGTCGTAGGAATGGAACTCGGCTGTGAAGTGAGGAGTGTCTGTATTTAGATCAAGCCAATGCTGCAACTTTTGGAGACTTTGTCCCGCTAACACTGGCCACAGTCAAACACCCTTATAGCCGTTAAACCGACATAACAGCGGCACACGGGCCGCGTCACAGTGAAAGACAGACCTGTGTCGGCAACGGAGAGGCGTTTCAATTCCCTGTCCAGCTCCTCATCTGTGATTCCAAAAGTAGAGTCGGGCACAGGCGGCAGGGCGTCCAGGAAACTGTCCCCACGGAGACCAGGAGCCCTACCTGATGGGAGGGGCTGGGTAGGAACTTTCGGGAGTGTGAGGGGTCCGTCTGGGGCAGAGTCCTCCAACAATGACTTCAGCTCCTCCTCCAGCTCGTCTGTGTCACCCCCTGCGGCAAAAATCGCGCTGGTTTTAAAACATCGCTTCAGTTTTTCTTGATCGTTGGGCGGACGTCTATATCTACAGGTAGCTTCCTGAAGACTCTACTGATCTCTTCCCACACAAGACTCACACGCTCGCAAAAACATTAGCGAAGAAAGCAAATGAAAACAAAATGAAGAAGCCCAGTAGAAATATGAGGGAGTGGGGGCATACCGGAGGAGTCGAGTGCGGATCCAGCCAGGGTCTGGTTCACCTCATCCTGAGTGTCACACAACTGAAACACACACAGGCGGCAAACTGAGCAACAACGGTGACAACCTGCAATACACATAGAGACCCCTAGGGGGAGACATCACAGAGGCACCACGTCAGTGCAGGTCAGGCAGCATGGCATGTGAGAACCAGGATAAGTGAACGCTGACCTCCTGGATCTGATCTACAAGGCTCTCAGCCCGTTCCACCGTCACGTCCTTTAGGGAAATCCTGAGGGCCGCCACTCCGGCCTGGTAGGCCTGCATCACCTGGGAAGAAGGAGAGCAGGCCGGACAAACATATATCCACAGCTGGAACCAACGACTGACACAAGACAATTGGCTTCGCTTCTAATGTTCAAGATGACCTTGTTTCTTCTGAAAGTGGGTCAAGCTGATTTTTGCTTATTCGTTTTACTAAACTAAGCAAAATTCGTCATTTCAATATGTCAATCCGGTCTTGGATAATAATAATAATAATAATAATTATTATCATTATTATTATAGAATATTGTATTATAATATACAATAATTATTATTATTATAATAATAATTATTATTATTATTATAATAATAATAATTATTATTATTATCATTATTATAAGCCACTGATGGGTGACAATTAATGTCATGTCAATGGCAGCCTGGGCCAGCGGCCAGGGGCACTAGGCAGAGTGACACCCCAAGTTCTACTTCCTCCGAGTCGTTTCACTTCCTCCACAAGGTCAGTAATTCAGGGGCCCAATGCAGCCGCCTACTCTACCTATACTGTAGGTCAAAGAACTGAAATCTGTTAAATAACTGCTCACTGCATCTAAATGCTAGGTTCTGATTTCCAGTCTTTCACTGTTAGCCATGGCATCAATGGGACAAAATTTTGCAATTACTGCAAAATGGAACTACTCTTTGTACATATGTATTCATGCAGAGATACTCAACGTTTTATCGGTTTGTATTAATACTTGTTTTTTACTTTGTTATGTGTGTGTAGCTCAATATGCAGAGCATTTATATGTGTTGAATCAGTTTGAAGATTCTGTTTTTATTATGTGCTATTCAGGGGACACACTAAATTTCATTGTACCATGTGTCCAATGACAATAACAGGCATTCTATTCTATTCTATAGCTAGACTTGGTCCCGATGACAACACTACAGGCCATACCAGGCGGTCGGTCTGCGAGTTTGCGATCCTGTCCAGGATTCCCTTGACGGTCTCCAGCTGGACGTACAGCCTCTCCGCTCGCTTCTCCATGTGCTTCTGTCCCCTCAGGCACCGGAGGGCCTTGCGAAGGAGAGAAGTGCTTTTTCACAGGATGCTTTGGCTCTGAGGCATTAGCCGGCATGTGTCATTGTATCGATTTCAGGGCTATATGAGGATTAGGCGTGTACCTGGGACTTCTTCCCCTCCCGCAACAATGTCCTTGCCTCTTCTCTGCATCTGTGCCCCATAAACACCACATTGTTGATATGCAAACAATATGAAATTCCCTGAAGGTCTGTCCTGGTTTTCACTGAGCTACATCACCATCATGGGACGGAGACAGACACACACGCACACACACACACAGGGAAAAAAAAGCACTCACACAGCACAGAGTTATTCCTAATGTACAGTTTGCTAATCACCGAGATGTGACATTCTGAAGAACCCTAACCCACTAGATAGTGGCCATGAGTTTCCCAAGACCCCACATGCTTACTTTCAATACATCATTGCTGTTGTTTATATCCAATAGCTTAGCTAGCAATCACATGGTAGCTTAAGTCAGGTATGACGGTATAACCACCATTCAGATGCATTCAGGCCTCAGTGACACTGTGCATCAGTTCTTCTGTTATCTGTCCTCTTTCTCAAACAAGCTGTATATTCATGCACTTGTATATTTTGCAATATCTCTACTTTGGTTTTCAAAAGGGTTAAATCTGAGCTTCTTGTACTCAGTTTGGGAATCTTTATTGTTAATTACATAGGTTATAAAAAAATAAAAGCTATTTGAGCCCAAGTTTGAATAATTAGATGCCTATTTATAGATAAAATTTTAATAAGTAAATCAGGCTTTATTCATTTCCAGGCTTTATTCACACGTTAATGACACAGACTGTGATTTGGACTTGGTGGGTCTGGTGACCCAAACCTGGCTTTTTAAGTGACCCTGAGCAGCCGGACATGGGCTGGGCGGAGGCGGACCCGGAGGCGGACCCGGAGGCGGACCCGGAGGCAGAGGCGAACCCGGAGGCGGACCCGGAGGCAGAGGCGGACCCGGAGGCGGAGGCGGACCCGGAGGCGGACCCGGAGGCGGCCGCAGAAGCTCACACAACTGCTCACCTGTCTGCTTCCAGGCCCAGCGCCTCCACCCGGTCCCCCAGCAGCCTCTCGCTGCGCTGAAGCTGGTAGATGCCAACGTCCATGTCGCTGACGGGAGATACGCGGCCCTGGCCAGCTTGCGAGAACTTCACGATCTGTATGGTGCACACGGCCCGGGAGGTTAGGGAAGGGACCCGAGGCAGAGCCGGGCCCCAAGGGGCCAACCGCCGGACCCCGGAGGGCCGGCCGCCGGGCCCCAAAAGGCCGGTGCTCACAGGGAGCTGGAGGATCACTAGCAAACGTCCCACTTCATACATCATCTAAGACTTACAGTTCTGTATTAGTCCCAATATGTATTTTATTTGTGATGCTTTTTATTTGTGATTCCTGACTAATTTTTATATTAATGAAACTTAGCTGTTGAAAAATTAAGGACTACTATAGAAGTATTGCACACTTTCGCAAGTAAACATACTATCTACATTTTCCTATAGTCCAGGTAGTTCTTGATTACAGCAAATCTGACTTGTGATTTAGTCAAGTACTTAGATTACATTACAACCAGTTATCTTGCATTTGGTCATTTGTCTGATACTTCTACCTAAAGCAACTTACATTTACACAGAAGTGTTATAATTAGCATTTGCTTGGATTTGAACCCATGACCACTGAATCATCACAACACAATGCTGTACTTGTTGAGCTACAGGTGGTAATTCACACAGGAATACACAAATAACACTGTGAGAGCGTTCTGTCAAGAAAATAAGCCCATACATCAAAAAAAAGCAATAAAATCATGAAAAATCTAGTGTAAAAGTGTAAAATCATGGTCCTGTAAATAATTAGAATTGTAAATTTCAGAGGGAATTCCTGGCTGGCTGGGCATTTTGCTGGAGGATCTTACAACACCACCTCTGCTGAGGTTTCTCACAAGTTCTTCTTTTGTTTGGTAGGTAAGCAGACTGACTGAGGAGGACTTACCTTCTCTCCCTCGTGAAGTGAAACGGTCACCTGCTTCTCCCTCTGCAGCTGAATCAGGGCCAGGCAGAGCGTGGTCTCGTCAGGACACACGTGGGTGGTGAGAGCGCGGAGCTCCTGAAACGAGAGGAGGGAGCGCCCCGCCATCGAGGAGCTTCTGTACACACGCATCAGCTCCACCGCCTTCTCCTGCGGTGGGACAGAGACTGAGGCTCAAACCCAACGTCCACGCCGAGAAGATCCATCCAGACCAGCAATCACCAAACTAATGGAGCTTTCTCAGTCACACTGGGTCCTCCTTCGCACACACCTTGACCAGCTCGATGATCACGAAGGACTCCTCCAGCGGGACGCGACTGTTTCCCAGCAAGGTGGAGAGTGTCCACTTGAGGGGACGCACCAGAAGGAGCCCCACACCCCACGACAGCCAGCCAGAGTCCACGTTCGCTGCAAATTCTGACTCCTTCTGCACCTTGCCACACCTGCAAGTCACGCATGGTGTGATGTGACACTTGACGGTCTCACACGAAGATTCTGTGTTCAGCGACAATTAAAACCGTATACTTTTGGTAGATCAGGTTATATTGCAGAAAAACTTTTAACGCCAACTGTGTCGAATGACAATCAACGAAAACTACATTTCAATGACTTAAAGCAGCGCTTTCCAAACCAGTTCTCAGGGCACAATGGACAGATCCACATTTTTGTTTTATGCCAGTTCCCAGTACACCTGTAAGGTATTTAGAGCTCCTGATCGCTTGGGTCAGGTGTTCTGGGAACTGGGGGAAAAAATGTGGATCTGTCCAGTATGCCGGTTTGGGAAACCCCGACTTGGAGAAAATTGTATGATCAGCAGTATAAAATCAGTGACATGTAGCTTCACCATTTTGAATAAACTGTTTCGTACTTAAGTAACTACAGTGGGTAGAGTGGCACTTGCCACAAAGTTGAGACATGCCGGTACCTGGCCATGCCCTGGATGACAGTGCCAAGACCCATAGGCACGCTTCCTTTTCTCTGAAACATGTCATTGAGGTCCTGCAGGCTCACGCAAACGGCCCCTCGTTGCCTGCAAGCACTGACGATCAGCGGCATCCAGAAAAGCATCTTACTGTCCCATTCGGTGATGTTCACCTCCCGGCTCTCTTTGAAAGCTGAGAAGAGGAAGGCCATGCGCTCGTCATCTTCCCAGTCTGGAGGCAAATCGGCAGACATATCTGCCTGCTGACTCGGGGGGTGGACCCACGGACTGCTTTAGAATTAAAATTTAAAGTGCATGAATGAGAGCACCAGAGCGTGGACAGGACGGGAAGAGAAAGCACGGAAGACCCAGCCACCCCACTGCCATACCCTTGACTCCCAAAGTCCAAAGGGTCACCGACTCGCCGCTGGGCTAAAACGGACGGAGCCTGGTTTCACTTTTCAGAGCGGCACCCAGCCGGCCCTTTAGCGCAGACTGTCCGAGCTGTGCACCGTCCAGTATAACGATAAAGACGGCTGGCCGGCGATCGACAAGCCTACGGGGATAGCTCGGGAAAATAAAACGTTGAGCGTCTAAAAACAGCCGCCCACACGCTATTTTGTTCCTAACTGCCGTGATTAGTTTGTTACAAACTGTATGATACTATAGCTACCGACCAGGTACCGTAACACTCACCCAAATCTGAGTAGACAGTTAGCTAGCCGGCTAGTTGCGTTAGCAGCTCATGCTTTTTATTAGCCCGAAACTAACTAACGCGCTTTATTATTCGCATTGACTCTCCGTATTACATAGTGACCTTTGACAGGATTAGTCATCCCGTACTAGCTGTCAATCGCCACTCGAAGATCAACAAAATATAGATCCGGAACAAGATTCGCTATGGCAGCCCACGGATAGACTGACAGGCCGAGCAGCCAATCGCTGCGTCCAAGAGCAGCCCCGACGGAGAAGAGCTAAGCCAATAACCGGGGAGGGGAGGGACAAGGCAGCGCTGCAGATGCGTCACCTCCGCCAAATCCAGATGTGCGCCTTAACGGAAATTACTAAATCTTATCTCTTAAGTACCCGATTTTCATTTCTTTTGTAATTTGAAAATTTCTAGTGGGTATGCTGCTGGATGGGATAGGGGCTTTTGATCAGTGGTTTGCTTTATCAAAGAAAGTGTGTAATATCAACAACAGATTTCCAGTTGCTGGTTTAAGTCCCACATCCATCTTTTAACCACATACCCTGGTCACAGGGACAGGACGGCCTGAAGTCTATCCCAGGTTGTGTCCGACACAATACAGGGGTCCACCCTGAATGGGATGCTAGATGATTGTACACATGTAATTATACCAAATGGGCAATTTAGAGACACTATTTAGCATAAACATTTTGACTGTGGGAGGAAACCAAAATGACAAAGGGTAGACATACCAATTTCACAGAGTAGAGCCAGGATTCAAACACAAGAGTGCAAGACTGCTATCCACCAGGCTGTCATGCCACCCTACTAATCTACTAATCTATATGCACTTGGAAAACCTGGGCTAAAATGTGAAGGCTAAGTGAATCATTAACTACAATGGCACAACAAGATTCACAAAGCTATCTGCTTCTCAAATTACGTTTCTAAACTCATCTACAAAATCCACAATTTCAAACAAAACATAGGTGACATCACTGCTGTTTATTTACATTCAAGCCTGCCAAATGAAGCAATAAAACATGCAAAAGTCTGAAAGAAATTTAAAAAGCCCCAACAGAGTGAAAAGGAAAAAAATATAAGCTAAAC